AAGTTCTTCACACAGTGCCTGGAACATAGTAGGCACCTAATAAATGCTTATTCCCTTGCCTCCCTTCACTATTCCAAATCTCTCCTCAAACTAAATGCATAGCGTTCTCCTCAGCAGAGGATCTTGACTGACCCTTTACTGAAAACAAAACTGAGGCCATTTATTACAAGCTACCAATTCTCCCCAGTTTTACACCTCAAATTCCCTTGCCAAGGCCAACTCTTCTGCTTGTTTTGACTTACGTCCCCTCCTCTTCTCTGGAACTCGACCCTTTACTCATCCCCTCTCTCTCCCTAATTTTCAATCTCTCCTTATTCCATCAGTTTCTCCCCTAGAATCTATAAACATGCCCAGATCTCTCCCATCCTTAAAAACCTTCACATGATTCTATTATATCCTCAAGCTATGTCCTAGTTCCCTTCCTAGAGAAGGGTGTATACACTTGGTGCCTCTACTTTCCCATCTCCCACGAACTTCTCAATCTCTTGCAATCTGTCTTTGGACCCCACCACTTGACTAAACTCTCCCTCCAAGTTCGCCAACGATCTCTTTATAGATAAATCCAACAACCTTTTCCCAGTCATCCTTTGGGACCTCTCTGCAGCATTTGATACTGTTGAACATTCACTCTGGATATGGTCTCCCCCTTGGCTCCAGGTTCGTGTCCTATCTGTTTGACTGATCTTTCTCAGGCTCCTTCACAGGATCATCATAGATGCCCCACCCCTTTTCTGTACCTCTAACCTTCCACTCTACTAAGTCCTCTACTCTGCTCTCTATATACTCTTTGGGTGATCTCCCCAGCTCCCATGGATTCAACTACCATCCCTATGCCATTAACTCCCAAATCTACCCATCCAGTCCTCATTTTTCTCCTCAGCTCCAAGTCATTAACTGGCTGCTATACATCTCAGCCCATCCCATAGGTTATTCCAGGTTATGTTCCATTCAACATCACACACACACACACATACACACACACACACACAGCCCCCTTCATCTCTCTTCCTAACATCCTTTTCTGTTGAGGGCACCACCATTCTTTACATAAATTCATAATCTAGGAATCATTCTCAGCTCTTCACTCATCTGTTATACCCAATCAAGAGACAAGTCTTATCAGCTCTACCACTACAAGATGGTATCCCTCCCATCCATTCCCTTCTCACCACCAGTCTAGTTTAAGCCCTTACCACTTTTCACCTGGACTACTGCAATAGACTAACTCATTTCCCTCTATCTAGCCTCTTCCCTCTCCAATACATACAATTATTCCTAAAATACAGGTCTAGTTATGTCACTTTCCAAATCAAGAAGCTCCAATAGCTTCCTATTGACTCTAGGATACACTATAAACTTCTCTGGTATTTTTGCAGCCCAGCTCCAGACTATCTTTCCAGATTACATATGTGTGCCTTATCATGAAGCATCTCATCACACCCATTATGTTCTAGCCAAACTAACCTATGTGTTGTTCTTCACATATGATCCTCCATATCCTACCTCGGTGTCTCTGCACAGGCTTTCCTCCTTGTCTAGAAACCTCTCTGCCCACCTCTGCCTCTTGGAAACCCTTCTAGAGTTAGCTCCAAAGTCATCTCCTACAAGAAGTTCTTCTCAATTCCTCAAGTGTAAGAACTCTTCCTTACTGAACCACCTGTGGACATTTTCTTCCTTCCTTCTCTCTCAAGTAGAACACAAGCTACTTGAGGGGAGGGAAGGAACAGTTTTCATTTCTGTCTTTGTATCCCTCGGACTAAGCATAATACCACCCAGCAGGTGCTTAATAAATGTTTGTTGGATTGAATTTTTATATAAAGAAGTCTCACAGGGTAGGGAATTGGTAAATGTTAATAATGTCCATTTAAAGGAATGGGAAATGTTTAGCTTGGAAAACAGAAAGAAGACTTGGAGCAGAAGTTCTTAAGTGGGGTCTGACCAGGTCTATGGATATTGATGGAAATGAAGATATATAGTCCAATGAAGCAAAGACATAGAGAGATCATGTTAGCTAGAGGACAGAACTAAGAACAAGGGATGGAAGTTTCAGAGAGGCAACTTAAACTTGAGATAAGGAATATCTTCCTAACCATGGGAGCCATCCAAAAGTTGAACTAGCTGCACTTACATTCACTAGCAGTCTTAAAGCAAAATCCAGATGACCAATTTGCTGGGAAATGTATAGATGGAATTTTTGTTCAGACATGGGTTGGATTAGCTGGTCTCTTGGGTCTCCTCCAATTCTGAGATTCTGTCCTTTTCTAAAAGTTTATTTGTACTGTCCATCAATTTGTAGTTTGGAATCTAAACAGACTCCCATGCTGAGTGGCCAACTGCCCAACACAGTTTTCAAGAAACGCAAATTTATGTGATGCACAGAAATTCCAAAAGAATATTCTAATATTTTCTAAGTGTTATATCCCCCAAGGCATTGTTTTAATAACAGAACTAGGAAGGCAGTGTCATTGGATCAAGTGGATAGAGGGGAGTAAAGTGTGAGAAGACTGAAAAAGTTGGAAGGTGCTAGGTTATAAAGCATTTTAAAATCCAAACAGAGGACTTTATATTTGATTCTGGAGGTAATAAGGACAAATGGCAGTTTATTGAGGGGGTGGGGTGGAAGGTACGATAATCATATCCGCTCTTTAGGAAGATCATTTTGGTAGCTGAGTAGAGGATGGACTGGAGTGTGGAGAGTCTTGAGACAGGGATACCAAGCTTTTAAGCATTTGATTTCTGTGGAATGAGAGGCTCATTTTACTTAAAAAATAAAACAAAGCCCAACAACAGTTAATTATTCATTGGAATGAAAATACGGTTTTGTTATTAAAACAATGCCTTGGGGGATATAACACTTACAAAATATTAGAGTATTCTTTTGGAATTTCTTGCTATTACAAATATCTGGGCCAATTTAGCATTCTTATTTCTTCTAGTTTCTATAACACAGATTAGCCATTGCAATAATCCTCTTGCAAAAAAAGTAGTTTGTTTTTAGTACTTAAGTCTTGGTTTTCAATATTTCAAGGATTCGACTCAGTTCAAAAGGTCTACTGGAAGAAGATTGTATAAATTAAGAAGTTTATCTACTTCCAGTCTCAAATCTATAATACACATTTGATTTCAGTGACTTATAATGCCTACAGAATACAAAGCACATACATGCTCTAGCAAAACCCAAACTAATCACATCCTTTCAAAAGTATGCAATCTGCATTTCCCAGACTGACCAATGTTATTCATCTTAAAATATGAAATTCATATTTATGGACACATGCCTAAAAAACAAAGCTCATAAGAGGCATTAATCTAGACGTAAAAAATTTTAAAGCTCTTCAAAACTTTCCATTCTTTTGAATGATCAAGTAAATTGTAAAATCCCATTGTGCCTTTAGAAGTTTAAAGCTGGAAAATCCCTCCAAGAAAGTATTAACTACTACTATTCCTGCCTCGTGAGAGGTATTTTTAACCAGCTATCTCAATAACACCTATTCCACATTCGCATCCTGTAAGTGTAAATAAAAAAGAAATAAGTGATTTTCTCTTGTGAAGTAAGCAAAAAAAAGGTTGTCGAAAGAATGTTGCTGCCACGTATTTCCCCTTCCCCCCACTCATTCCTCCTCCAAGAAACTGGGATCTTAAAGAGTTAAGTTAAAGCACACGGATCTTTGGCTTCTTACATCAATTCCAAGAGTAGACTCTCCATTTCACAATCCATTCTTTAAAAAAGAAGGGTACAAACTTGTAATGACCACAATATTCTCAAGTCCAGCCTAAACGTGCTAAAGTGTATTTCAACTGCATTTTGTTACCAGATTTCTTTGAAATATGAATTGCTGCAGCCACCTATTCCACAAAACTGAATTATTCCCCCCCCTTTTTTTTACGGAGGAAAACAAGATCTAATATTAACGTATTCCCCTTCAACAGCATTTTGGCCACATTAATCACTCCAGGTACTATCCCAAACAAAGGCTGAATTTAACTGATGAAATCTTTAAAATACACACAACACTTAATCCTACCCGAACGTTTTACAAAAATTTCAGGCAAACAGATTTCACTTCAGAGAAGATGAGTAGGAGGGAAGGAAATTAAAAAAGGGGAAGATTTCCTCAGGCTAACTTGTGTCAGCTTGTGGCTATTTCCTGGGCGCGCACGAAGTCCCGAAACCTTGGGCCCTGAACTTCAACTCTACAGCTGAGATTTTCACTACAGCCCCTATGCGCAATAAAAGAGGTTGAGTTTGGACTTTTCTGGGCACTTCTATTTCCAGAGACCTGATGCCTTGTCAAGAGACCAAAGACAGCCTACCTAGGGCAGGGCTTCCAGCTTTCGGCGGGGGGAAAAAGTGCGATTCAGAACTTTGAGACAGCCTAGCTCCATCGTCTCATGCTAGCCATCTGCTTGGCAGGCCAAGAAATCCACGCCCAGTTCCCCCACTTCCCCCTTCCCATTCTCCCACCCCCGCCTGAGTGGGAGAGACTCCAGGGGAGGGGGGAGGACAGGTATGAGAGGGGCCTCAGGGAAAGGGACTGGTAAATTTCAAGCCCAGAAAGAAAATTCAAGAAGGTGCGTCCAGGTCCCTTAAGAATTCGGGCTGCTCCACTACTCAAGTGGAGGTGGGGGAGTTGTGGAGGAAGGACCAAGCTGTAAGGAGGGGGGCGATTCAGCTCCTAAGCTACGCAAGGGGAGAGGGAAGGAAGAGAAGGAAAAAGTAAATGATGAAGAGGTGGAGAGAGGAGAAAAGTGGGGATGAGGAAGAAGGAGAGGAAGAAAAGGGAACTAGGAGAGCCCATGAAAGCAGCTAGGGTTCCAGGAGAGCGCAATCCCCCAGAGCAGCTGCGGATGGAGGAACGGCGGGGGATGAGATAGTAAACAGGGGCGACCCCCCCCCTCAACTTGCACATCCCACCCCCAGCCCAGTTGAGTCGGAGAGGAGAGGGGGCGCCCGGCTTCGGCAAGGCCCTGGAGACTGCTGACAGCGAGGCGCCTCTCACCTGGGTAGGCAGTAGGGTAGAAGCCGTTCGCCCGCCCCCACCTCTTGCTCACACCCCGCTTTGCCCGTAAACTAGAGGAACCTCCCCTCCAGCTGGCAGCGGTTCGACTGAGCGATAGAGGGAGCCCGTAAGTCCTTTTATAGCCTCCGGCGGCGCGCGAGCCCGCCCCGCCCCTTCACCGCGAAGGCGGGGGAGGGAACTCGCACTCCTGCTTCCAAGCTGAACCCGCTCTACGTGAGCTAGATCACACCAGCAACTTGGTGCGCAGGCGCCTTCGCCAGCTGGCCCATCCCAGACAGCCGGCGGAGGAGAGTGGGAGGAGAGTCGGACACGCTTTAGGAGGGAGGCGGGGCTGGAGCCTAAGTAGGATGCAAGTGCGCGTGCGCAAGGCTTCCGCCGCTACCCTGTGGGTTAGGCTGGGCTCACGGGCTCGCCCACATCCCCGCCTTGGATTCCAATTTAAGCGCCCGAGGTTTTCCTTAGTGGAAAGTCCGCATACCGCCTCGGGCCACGCCTGTGGGTGCCCGGTGCAGAAGTGAAAGCAAGAAAAAGCTGGAAAGAAAGGCTGCTAGGGAGAAAGGGGGTGGGGGAAAAGGGAGGAAGAGTCAGGATTGTGGAGGGGGGTTGGTGAATGCGTCTCGACCCCAGTGTTTCAGGGTCACCCTGGTTGGCCTGTCTTGCCGCCCCTCGCTCCGCTCATCTGGAATGTGTTGTGTTTGTGAGACTCTGGGAGAGTCATTTACCCGCTGCCTGCCTCAGTTTCCCCAGCTGTAAAGTGGTGGTAATAATAGAACCGCCCTGGTAAGGTTGTTGTGAGGGTCAAATGAGATAGTAATTGTAAAGGCCTTAGCACGGTGCCTGGCATCTGGGAAGTGCTATATAAGTGTTAGCTATTGTTATCGGGAAACGTGTTGCATCCGCTAGCTGGGTGAACCTGGGCAAGTCACTTGCTCTCTGCTTTCCTCAGTTTCCCCAACTGTAAAATGAGGTTAATTTTAACTCCTACTTCCCAGTATTGTTGTGAGGGTCGGATGAGATAATAATTATAAAGCACTTAGTGCAGTGCCTGGCACTAGTGAGTGCTATGTAAATGTTAGCTGTTATTATTATCAGGTAACTTTTTGCATCCCCTAGTTGTGAGACCCTGGACAAGTCACTTAACCTCTGCCTTCCTCAGTTTGCCCATCTATAAAATGGGGCGGTTAGGTGGTACAGTGGATAGATTGCTGTGCTTGGAAATCAGGAAGATTCCTTTTCCTGAGTTCAAATCTGGACTCAGAGACTTACTAGCTACGTAACCCTGGACAAGTCACTTAATCCTGCTTGCCTCAGTTTCCCTATCTGTCAAGTGAGAAGGAAATGGCAAAGCACTGCAGTATCTCTGCCAAGAAGACCCCAAATAGGGTCGAGAAGAGTCTGACGTGACTAACCAGAACAGAACAATAAAATGGGCATAATAATAGCTCCTACCTCCCAGGGTTGTTTTGAGGATCCAATAAGACAATATTTGTAAAGGGCGTAGTTCATAGTAGGTCCTGGATAAAAATGTGTATTCCTTTCTTGGGGGTTAGCATTGTAGCATTGCAAATCCAAAGGTGTTTGCATAGGAACTTTTACAAGCTTGGGGAACTTAAGTGATTTGCCAAAGGTCAAACAGTAAGTGTCAGAGAGGAGATTTGAACCCAGCACCTCTGACTGTAGAAGTAGGGCTTTTTCCATTATCCCACAAATCAGCAGATTTTTGGAAGCCTAGGGGAAAGGAAAGAGTGGAATCAGAAGCTCAAGATTTGAATCCTGCGACCTTGGACAAGTCACTTAAGTGCTTTAGTCCTCAGCTTTGTCACCGTACATAGAGTGAGATGATTGGATTAGATAACCTCTAAGATTTCCCCACATCCTTTCCAGCTGGTGAGGTCACCTTCTATAGGCAGTCTTCCAGGATTGCCCCTCCCATTCTTGTTAGAAACCTTCTCTTTCTTAAATTACCTTGGTTTTACTTATCAATCAATCTTGTTAACAATTGTCTGTGCAAATGCTGTGCTTCCTACCCCCCCAGTCAAATATAAGGTCCTGGAGTTCGTCCTCCAGGACAGTTTCATTTTTGTTTCTGCATTCTGTTCCTAGCCTTGTGCATGCTTAATATATGTTGAGTTGAAGCCTCAGTAAATGAGTCATTCATCTCTTCAATATCCATCTGGATTCAGCTGCCAGCACTGGGGATTGTTTTATGAAAAGGTCCTCCTGCCATGGTTCAACTCAATTACATTCCGTTCATTTATGTCTATTGTTTACATGACAGGAAGCAAATATACCTGAATAGATTGCAAGAGGCAGGAAGGAAACACCAGTGTAAGAAAAGAGTTGTCACTTACTGAATAAGTGCTATTGAAACTTAAAACCAGGATGAAACTTACATCCAGGACCCTTTATCTCAGTGTTTGGGAGCTCCCACCATCACTGCCAATCACAAGCCCTATACATTTTCACATTTAGTTGGTGTGGCATCTCCTAGTGGCCAGCCTTTTGGGGGTGATGGCCTCCAATCTTGGAATGGTGCTGAGACAACAGGCAGTCTGTTGGGGCAGCTAGGGGCCACAGTGGATAGAGCACCGGCCCTGAAGTCAGGAGGACTTGAGTTCAAATCTGGCCTCAGACCAAACACGTGACACTTACTAGCTGTGTGACCCTGGGCAAGCCACTTAATCCCAATTGCCTTAAAAAAAAAAAAAAAAAAGAGGCAGTCTGTTGCCAGTCTAGGCCTCAAAACCTTTATGTCTTGGTGGTGTTCATCCTTAGTTGGACCAATGACATCATGATATTGGGGTAAATTAATGGATGATGGGTGATGTCTTTACTTGAGAGTGAACTGGACTTAAGTGAGGCAGAGTTGCACAAAATCATCGGCTTCACTTTCTCTTCCAGAGTCATCGAAGTCCAGTGGCAGGACAAAAGTCAAGATGGCTGGATGTAGTGGATGACCTTGGTGTCTTTGATGACTAAAATCTAAGCGCTGCACAGCACCTGCTTCAGCCACCTTCATAGCTATTGGAACAAATTGTTCTCATCCACCCATTCTGCCAGAGTGAACCCTAAAATCTTGTGCCTTTGAGCAAATTCAGTTGAGTGCAAGAACAGTGCAGAATATAGTCCAAGCTTGGGTGCAAGCATAACAGGGGAGTAGGTATCTCATATCCCAGTGGGAATATGGTTAGTGGGAAAGCAGGTCACTAGACAGTGGTCAGTATAGGAAGGAAATATACCACCCATCCTACAGGGAGTGAAGCTGAGGATACCATGCCAATGCCCTGGGACAAAATCCTGGTTGTCCAGGTGCTTGTTATAGTTCTGACCCAGATGGTACTTTTGAGCCACAATGAGGCACAAAAGAAAGATTGTAGAAGAAAATACCAAGTGAGCTTAGTTTAATTATGATAAAAAACCTTTCAAACATATTTTTAAAAAGATTTTGAGGCTCAGATTCCTTAAGAACCTAGCCAAGGGCTCAGATTCTTAGGAACTGGCGTACTTTCGCTAGCGATACAAATGCTTAGATTCCTTAAGAGGCTGGCCAATATGATGGATTCTTTAACTCTCACCCCGAGTGATGTTCTAGTAAACCTTGTGTTTGGCTGGAAAAAAAATTTTTTTGAAAATAAGTTGCTTGTACTGCTACCCATGTAATGTTGAAATACTTAGTTTTCGAACAAACCAATAAAATATCTTCAATGGAAGATATATAAGATGACACAGGCAAGAACCACACAAAATGAAAAGAGTAGTAATGAATCTGCACTGTTGGGCAGAGGGCCTAATATAGTCCAAATAAATTGATTTAAGAGATAGTGAAGTATTGATATGTAGGAAACAATCTATATCTAAAGATAGATTACTTTATTACTTTATTTTTCTTCCCACATCCAATCTTTTTTAGTATGTTTCTTCTTTAGGCCATCTCTTACTGTTTGAACACGCAAAATGCTATGTATTGGCCATAAAAATCTCCAATCAATATTTTCAGGAAATATAAAGGTTATTCTGAGAAATCTTCAGCAACTATCCATCCAAGTATGGGATATGCTTAAAAATATACCACCCTAATCAAAACCATCAGCTGCATTTCAGAAAAATGCTCCTGTTTGTCAATAAAGAACACCCAATTTGGGTGTTTGAAGCAAAGCTTAGTCAGGCCAGGCATTCTTCCACCCAAATCAGCTTTCCGAGGGCACAAACAGCCGAGTGAAAATGCCAGAAACACAAGCTTTATTTGGTTAAGAGAGTTGAAGAAATCCCTAGTGTGTTCAGTTGAATAATTATGGTGTGTTCTGTAGGGAGAATAGTGTGTTTTGCCTTCCTGTCTCTTGGCTCAAAGTCAGGGTAAAAATGCTGACTGAGGAATCAGACGCTCATGCTTTTCCCAGCCCATCTGATAACTAGGTGTGACACTGAGCAAATAATTTAAGCCCTCTGTGCCCAGATTTCTTCAGCTGTCAAAAAGTAATAATAATACCAGTTTTACCCACCTCGTTAAGTTGTGAGAATAAAATGAAATAATAACAGACTTGCAGCCAGCCTTGCAGTCAGGAGAAACCAGAGCTGTAACCACAGCAAAACAATGTGGGCCTTGCCCCAGGGTGCTGAAGCAGAGAAAGTGTTGACATGTATGCCAACAAGTGAAACAGCTGATATTTGCTCTCATTAACAAGAATAGTGAAAATAGACAATGTTTAGGTGGCATCTTAGGGTCTTCCCCCATAGCAGACTTTGGGGTATCTTTTGTGCTGCTTGCCCCAGGTGCTTTTTGAGGTGCTTGTCCCAGGCATCAGCAGTGCCGATATAGAGCTGGGTTCAAACCCCTCCTCCGACACTTATATCGCAGCATGGTAGTGAGCAAGTAAGTCACTTAAATCTTCAAAGCCTCAATTTTCTCATTTATAAAATGGAGACCAAGACAGCAGAGTTGTTGAGAGGAAAGTACTTTGCTAACTTTAAAATGTAGAAATGCAAATAATTAATGTGTAAAATGCTCTGAAAACTGTGAAGTACTATTTTTAACTGTTGTGTCTAGAAAAGAACTAGGTCCAAACCAAACTCCCTGAA